ATCATGCAGAAATAAATGGTTACAGAATCACTACGCTAGAATATCGTAGGGAAACTCATTAAAAACTCGTGGCTAGAATGTTGACCCAAAAATTTGAGTCAAATGGTCTTTTGGCACCTATACTAGATGGGTACGGCTCGGGCAGAGATACGTGCTGCAATGCCGCAGTTTTTACTTACGACACCCAAAGAGGGCTTCCAGGTAGGAATAAAAACTGCCGAAGCCGCCATTGATTTAGAAGACGCATACAACAGCGGCACATACAACATGCTCATCAGATAACTGTTAGAAATGGACATCGAGTGAATCGCATCAGAGGTCTTATAAAAAACAGTGTCGCTAAAATGCGGTGCGTGGGCTTTGAAAACTTAAGGTATCTAAATGCGCTTGCCTCATGGATCACGATGTCTCATATTCTCTTCAGTGTGTTCACATTAGTGGTCACTGGTGCACATTAGTAGGTCTAGGTAGACAAATGTCGTTCGGACGAGGAAGAAACAGGAATTCACAACAACGCTACAGCAAGAACTAGACACAATCATAAACAAATTTGACAGCAGCTTGCCATACAGGCGCCACATAGACAATGCCATAGTCAGAGCCAGGAAAGGTCTGAAGGCATTGAAGACGATGGCATACGACGATAACGAACAGCGCCTACTTTTCCTCTTCTTACAGGGAATGTGCTGAGTCTTAAAGACTGCGATCTGCACCTCCTGACTATCAGCAGAATCTCGATATAATGTAAGGTTATGAGAATCATACTCTGTTGTAAAAAAAAAAAAAGACATCTTGTGTCACGTCATGGGATATGTCTAAAGTTTACCGACGTTGGCCACCAGACATAAAGTGACACAGATAAAAGCGTACATGATAGTTATCAGCAAACATCAACCACATACTGCAAAACGCTATCAGTGATATAAAAGGGGTGCGTCTCAAAAGTTGCCGCTTTCACTTCACGTCCTTTTCAGGGGGTCTATCATAATCTTCCTGTCCTTTTTAGGACGAAAAGTTTCGTTATTTGAAGCCCTACTCTGGCTCTTGCCAGGGGCCGGAGTATAGCCCGGCCATAAATATGACCTAAAGGCTGAATGCGGTTTCTGGGACCTCTCAACAGTGATCCTCACCCACATGGTGGCACATTGTGTCATCGGGTGTTTATCGCTTGTGTGATGTCCTGGTGGGGTAGAAAGTCAGTCAAAGTTGCTGCTCCTGAAAATGTTTCAGAAAATCACAACAGGTATTGTGCGATCTGAATGTGTAGAAAGATTTGAGAAGTCGCAGTTTACCCCTGCCATCCGGAACCGAAATGCAGTGGATCAGTTTTTCCAAATGAAAACGGTTCATAACTAACTTCTTCTTTCTCGCGTTCACCGGCTGTAACTCCGGCAGAAAGTTTTGGTTGTTCGTCTATTTCTGGACTCTAGTGCTGTTCCAGAAACTAAGCGTTGCGTGCACATCTGTTTTGCAGGTCTGACACATTTGCATGCAGATTGTTAGTTCCTTGCCTCTCAGGCAGATTCGCTCCGACTTCAAAGGAAGCGCCCAATTAGTGTGACGTGCGGAACTTAACGTTGCGTAGGCTTCATTGATTTGACGAGCGTAAAAGTGACTAGGGGGTGTCGCAATGTAACAAATGGCATCAACACTTAACATGCCACTGGCCAAGAGTAACACAACATAATGAATGCTGAAGCTTCCAACGTAGCGGAACGAGAACTCTCTTTAAAAGTTCCATTTGTGTATTGACAAATGCAATGATCAACACAAAGAATACATAAGCAAGTAATAATCAACTCGTTCAACCAAAGCTCGCTCGTACATCCATGTATTGATATGTCCTCACGATAGGTCGCAGTCCGACCTTGAGATCCAGGCGATTATCTTTGTCCTCGGACGAGTCCGAATTAAGCAATGAAAGTATACCGGCTTCATTCATTCATTCAGTAGCATGTCCCTCGCGGAACCTCGCTGCCATAACAACCCCCCGGAAAACCTTCCTATCATGAGCAAGATGTCCTGCGTCTGATACACCCATCTGGAGATCATCTGCCACATCCTGCACCCATCTTCTCCTTGGCCTTCCTCTTCCTCTCTTCCCAGGCATATACCCCTCCATTATTGTTCTCTCTAGACCTCCATGACGTTTCAAGTGACCAAAATATTTCAATTTTCTTTGTTTTATTGTCTTTACTAGCCAACCCTCTTCAATATTCAGCTCTTGAAGTATGGATGCATTTGTTCTTTTCTTTACCCAAGATATTCTTAGAACCTGTCTGTAACATTTATATTCAAATGCATTTATGCGCTGTTCCGCTTGTTTAGTAAGTGTCCAGGTCTCACAGGCGTATGTTGCAATGGGAAAGATGCATGCTCTTAAAAATCTGACCTTTGTAATTCTATCTGTACAATTCCATAATTTATTCAGTTGTTTTAGTCTTTGAAGAGCAATTGATAGTCGCCGTTTAATTTCTTTCATTGTGTCACCATTGTTGGTAACCAGTGACCCAAGATATTCGAAATTTTCCACCACTTCCAATCTTTCCTCATTAACATATATTTCCTTCTCCATGGCAGTTTTGTTTGTATGCATTATCTTTGTTTTTGCTGTGTTAAGAAATAAGTTATGATTTTCACTATTTCTTTGGAGTGAGGTTAATAAGTTTTCTAAACCATTTTGTGATGTTGATAGTAATACTGTATCATCAGCATAACGAATTTCTGGTATTTCATGACCACCGATGTTTAGGGCATCATATTGTTCCTTGTTTATATCATCTCTTACATTTCTCATTATATTTTCGGCGTACAGGTTGAACAAATACGGTGACAGCACACATCCCTGACGGACTCCTTGCTTGATGCCAAACCAGTCTGATGTCTCTCCATCTATTCTGACTGCTGCTTGTTGGTCTTGATAGAGCATTTTAATGAGCTGCACTATATGTGATGGAAAGCCCATATTCCTCATGATTTCCCAAAGCTTCTGATGTTGTACACAGTCAAATGCTTTTGAATAATCCACAAAACATAAGAACAGATTTACATTAAATTCTCTACACTTCTCTATTATTAAACGCATGTTGAATATATGATCTCTTGTTCCTCTTCCCTGTCTAAATCCAGCCTGAGCTACATTAATCTCTTCTTCCATTTTCTTTTGCAGTCTTCTCATTATAATTTTTAGTAGAATTTTACTTGCATGACTGATCAGGGCAATAGTTCGATAGTTTGTACATAATTTCAGGTCACCCTTTTTTGGTATTGGAATGAAGATAGTTCTCTTCCAGTCTTTTGGCCAAATACCATATTTCCATATCTTTTCACATAATGCATGATAGATTTTTATGCTTTCTTCTCCTCCCGCTTTAATCAATTCAGCTGGTATCTCATCACATCCAGGTGATTTACCATTTTTCAGGCTCCTTATTGCCCATGAAATTTCATCTAATGAAGGTTCAGGTTCTGCCTCTACTGTTACTGGTTCATGTATATCATTCATATCCTCACTGTCATTCATATCATACATTCCGCTGCAGTATTCCTGCCATCTTCCTAGAATTTGTCTAGATTCTGTTAAAGTATTTCCCAACTTGTCACAAATAACATTTAACTGAGGTTGAAAATTTCTTGTCAATAACTTCATTTCCTTGAACATTTCGTAATCTCTTCCATTTTTGTGATGCTGCTCTATTTTAATACAGCAATCTTGTACATACTGATTTTTTATCCTTTCTTGTGTACTTTCTTATTTCTCGTGTTAAAAATTTATACTTCATCCTACTGTCATTGGTTTCTCCTTTCTTTTTCAGTTCCCTTCGTTGTTTTATTAGTTCTAACGTGTATGGTGTGATCCATGGTTTATGTTGCTTAGTCCTGGTGGGTATTAAGTCTTTAGCTGCTGTTATCAAGATATCCCTAGCTTGTACCGCCAGTTCATCAGGTGTCATTTCCTCTTGTACAGACATCAAGACCTCAAAACGGTTCTTCACTTCTACGTTGTATGCATCTGGTATTTTTGTGAGATACCGGCTTACTGCCGAGAATGTAACGTTCACCAGCTTCCTGCTGAGGTCTATCTTGGAGTCCCGGGGTAAAACGTCCTCAAGGATCCAACTTCATATAACGTTTGCTTCCGTGGGATCCCGGGGTAAAGCGTCCTCAAGGATCCACACGTCCGTCTCCTTCAGACTATAAACATCAACTCCTTTGACAACATTACCTTCACAACGTTACGTATTGTTTTGACGTCTTATTTGCTCACTCCGTACTGGTGCGTTCTGGTGCACATTCGCACGCGACAATTAGTAAATTAGTCGACTCTTGCGAAATTCTTTTGGGCGGGCAGTGGGTCTACTCCCGACAATGGGGCCCTGGAACCCACACGGGGAATAACTAACAAATTTCTCACTCTTCCCTTCGTTGTTTCTCTCTACCTGTCTGCCCAGAGGATTCGAGACTTGTTTTAACATACAGGTCGGCGTCTGTGAAATTAGGCGTTTCGAAAGCGCTTCGTAATGCCGGGGTGCCGAGTTCGATTCAAGCTGCGGGCCTTGCGTTTGTTTTCGACAGTTTTATCGAGAAGACGACTGTCCATGAAACAATGGCAAACCACTGGAGTAAACTTGCCTAAAAAAAAACACAACAGCTGTAAAATGCTGGGGGTTAATTCTGCAGCGTCCTGTAAAGGATATGCAACTAAATTTTTTTACGATACAGGTGCATGGCGAGCGAGGCGATGGGAACTAACTCTCGTTTGAAGCTAACAAAACAACTCAGAGAGTGCTTCACCCGTGGATAATTGTTCTGCAGTTATCACCAGTTCACCACCTTTAATTTATCAAGTACGTCAGACGCCGTGAAACAATAGAAAACACCTAGCATCTGTGAAGCAAATCTACATTTTGCATATGTCTGCCGTTTGCTGAAGTTACCTAAATAATAGTCAAATATTTGACATATTTCAAAATAGGCGGCATATATACCGTAGAATTAGAATGAAGGCGACACTTTTAATAGCACTGTTTGCAACTGGCTGGTTCCAACTGATTTTAGTTTGTTTGGCAAACAGTGCTAACGATGATTTTCTTGAAATAACAGCACCCGCAGGAACCTTTAGGGGAACTGCCATCCTATCACTTCAAGGCTACATATACACAGCGTTTTTAGGAATCCCCTATGCCTTGCCACCTGTTGGCGCCTTACGCTTTGCCAAGCCAGTCGCGTATCCAAGAATGGAAGTATGTGTTTATAAGTTTATTAAAAATAATTCTTAATTATAATAAATAATTATGTAAAAATTTATTTTTTTCCCCTAGGCAGAGCTGTCTGAAAAGTTATTATGGCCTTCTGGACAAACCAATGTGCATTGGGACTATATGGCAACTCAACTGTTAGGACCAGTCACTTGACACATATTAGCATAGACCCCTATGCTTGTGGTGGGGGCCTGTGCAAGTGCTCAGCGGGCCCATCTCTTGACTCTTTCAGGTCGACAAATTTAGGCAGACTTGGTTCACTTTTATTTCCCTTTACCAAAATGGCAAAGGGGGTGGTGTTTAAGAAAAAAAAAAGGCACTTAAGAATGTAATATTTCTAATTCCTTAAAAAAAATTTTTTTTTTAAAAGAGGAATGAAAGTACATTTTTAATCTGATGATATGGTTTTGTTTAATACTGTTATAGTTAGTTGTAAGGATAAGGGGATGGGGACGGGGGGGGGGGAATTTAGCAGGTGTTATTTTACAAGGACAAAATGTTACCCAAAAAACTTCTTCACTTACCATGATTTTCCAGCCACAAGAGCAGTAAATATTCAGATCTGAGTATAACACTTTAACGTTTGTTCAGTGTCCTATCAAATTCAAAAGTTGTGATATGTTTCTGGGCTAGTCTATCACCCAGAAGCTCTAGGCTCTCATAGAGTGCTGAATAAAATTTCAAAGAAAAAAAAATGATAGAAAAATCAAACCTGTTCACACAAAATATTAACTCTGTACAGTTACTTACAGACTGTAGCTGCAGTGATTTCAGTGCAGCTTGGCCATAGTATTGTAATAGTACTGTCTGAAACAGTCCCTTGGATGCAGATGTGGGTGACAGTTTCAGAGCTTCAGCCACAGAAAGGAACATTTTTGGCCTGTGCTTGTGTTCTAAACAATGGGATCCATGGCCAGTCAAAGACAACAATCAGAAAATTCACGGTCTGAAAAATGACGCTAGCAGTGAATCGGATAAATTTATGCCCAGATGTGCGATCAAAGACTTGTATACAAAAGAAAAGAGATTAAAACGGTCCCTAAATGATAATTCTGAACATTAGAAATGAGTAAGAAATAGTATGCGAATCAGTATGTATGGGACACACGATCGACACACACTGTGTGGTGTGTGCAAATCGGAACTTCTCAGTCAGCACACACAGTATTGCTCGGACCTCAAAAAGGCACTGTTTATAGGTGCAGATTTCAGCTTTAATTGTATAATTATTAATCTCTGGTATATATTTATTTTGAGCCTAAACTAAATTGTTCCTTGAAGCTTTTACCTGAAATTTAAGGCTTTGGTTTGGTATTTATACTTTGTACCAAAAAATAAAAATCAATCGTTGATTGTCTAGAAAGACTTAACATTACAAGAGTTAATGAATAAAAAAAAAGTTGAAGGAAGGCAAACAAGAGTTAGGCAGAGAAACAGTTGAGAAAATAACATGATGAGAATGTGGAACAGCAGTTTGACTGCATATCCAAAGTGAGAGCAAGGGTGTTGAAAATCCACTGCAACCAACTGATGAAGATAGGGCCTGATTTTTTTCTAATATTTACTATTCAAAGCCATTCTAGAGAAATTTCATTGCAGTACAATAGTAGTGTCAATAGCAAGAACATATTTTTAGTATCACATGTGCACAGTTTTCAATAACTATTGATGAAGCTGTTAGAAAACAATATCTGCTCTTAATACGGCAATAAATGTTGATGAGGATTCTAGTAAAAATTAAGACTGTGTGGTATTAAAGGCAAAACACAAAAATACTTACATAACATTCATATTAATGGACACATTTATGCATACATACATATTCACACAATACACACTCACACAAACATTACAGAAAAATAATTTCAGCTGTTTCATCTTGCTTTTAATAGATGGCTTTGAAATTTGAACACTGTGCGGCTGCTGTGATGAGGGACAGAGTTCTTATGGGAATGTCTCAATTGCTGTGGTGTCGGTACTTAACTGAACTCAACTCAGCTTAACTGAATTACTTATGCGTATTGACATCTCTGTTGTTTCTAGCATGTATATGATGCCACCCAGTTTCCACCCATCTGTATCCAGCCAGTTGGGATTGACCTTGGCCAACCTTCTCAAGAAGATTGTCTGTACTTGAATATTTATGTTCCTGCCAGGGAAAACAAGGTTGGTTTGAAGCATAAATACTTTATTTTGCTAGCTCAGTCAGTACCAGTCTCCTCTTCTTGTTCTTCGTTGCATTTACTCCAGTGGAAAGTTTTGGTTGTTCCTCCGCTTCTGGACCTTAATCTTGTTGCAGAACTTACATTTTTTGTGCACATTCATTTGACAGATTTAGTTTATTTGTATACCCACCGGTAATCTCTCACATCTCAGACAGATGCACTTCCTCTTAGAAGGAAGCAGCCCTAATAAGTTGACTTGTATGACATCCTTGTTAAGGAGCTATGTGTCTATTCTGTTTTTGTTGTTGTTGCCCACCACATTGAGTCTTATGGACACACATGGGTAAGCACTTCTTCCATTTACCATTTTCCTAGTCCAGTTTTTACATTAACTCTCTCTGTCCTATTTATTACTTAGTTTCTTCTGTTCACTGAGGTTATTATTTTAATTCTGGTAAATCTGGCCTCAGTTAGTTTAATTGTAACAACTGCCAAGATTTGAATGAGTTAAGATATCAGCTGGTTAGTACTGAAAGAGTTAACGTCTGTGTTTCATTCAGTGTCTTTACATGTATGTCTTTTATTTCATGTAATTGCTCGAATTGTCAAAAATCATTGTATTATAAAAATGACAAACATTAGTTGGTAAACAGTATCATGTCTTAGAAGCTGAAATACACACACACACACACACAGATATATACCCCATAGTTGATCCATTCTTGTGCTGGGTCACCCCATAGTTGATCCATTCTAATGCTGGGTCACCCCATAGTTGATCCATTCTTCTGCTAATGAAAATATATATATGTATATATATACACACATATATATATACACACACACAAACTATTATGGAAAATAATGGCAAGATATGGAGTAAGCGAACACCTCATCGAAGTGTGCAAAAGTTTATACAGGGATTGTAGAAGTGTAGTTAGAATAAATCAGGGAACATCTCATCCTTTCACAGTGACATCTGGAGTAAGACAGGGGTGTGTCTTATCACCACTGCTGTTTATCACCTACATCGACAGTATATGCAAGAATGCCAAGCCCATGAATGAAGATCTTAGTAAGATCAACGAATTACTCTTTGCAGATGACCAGGCCTTGATAGCAGATACAGTCATGAAATTGCAACAACATCTAACATCCATGAATGAAGAATGTAAAACAAATAATATGAGAATCAACACTGAAAAGACAGAAGTAATGTCAATAGGAAAAAAGAAGACAGATCTAAACATAGCAATAGAGTACAAAGGCATTAAACAGGCATCTGAGTTTAAATATCTGGGAACTACATTTACCGAAGATGGGAAATTGGATAAAGAAATTGACATTAGATGCAGTAAAGCAAACCAAGTATTGGGACAGCTAGCTCCCCTCTTACAGCATAAGACAATCCCAATCAGCACAAAGAGACATCTTATTCAAAGCATATTTATTCCAACTCTGTGCTACCAGTGCCAGACTTGGTCACTCACAACAAACCATAAAAGAAAATTAGAAACCACGGAAATGAGATGTCTGAGAATGGCTGTAGGAGTGACCATAAGAGATAAGATCAGGAATGAGATCATAAGAGAACAAGTCGGCACAGAACCAATTCTGGATTACATACAAAGACAGCAAGTGAAATGGTTTGCCCACTTAAAGAGAATGCCTTGTGACACCATACCATACAAAGCATACATGGAAAGAGAAGAAGGACGTAGAGCACAGGGTAGACCAAGAACAAGATGGAAGGATAACATCAGAGAAACTCTACAACAGCACGATGTGCCTATGGTCGAGGCAGCCAGAAGAGCTAGAAACAGAACCTTATATCTCCCTCGACACCCACAGCGATAAAAGAGGAAGTGAAGAAGAAGAAGAAGAACACACACTCAAAGATTAAGTTTTAGTATAATTTTGTGTCGATGTCCTTTATAAATAAGCACTCTTAAAGCACAGAGGATAGCACATCTGCCTACTGGCCCAGAGGTAACAGCTTCAGATCCCTACAAAGCGGACCTTTAAAATGAATTTGGGCTCCCAGATCAGACCAGCCTCACAAGGAAAGCAGAAAATTTTCTAGGCGTAAAGGAAGCCAGCATGGTTTTCTGTATTTGTCTTGTGCTTCTCGGGTGGCTTGAGTGATGAATTTAACCTTTTGCAGGTTTCATCTACACCATTTATCTATATCTTTCTTGGTCTTCCTCTCACCTTCCACCCAGATGTTCTAATGTAAAAAGTCTCATATGCAGTCTGCATTCTCACTAGATGACCAAACCATTTCATTCCTTATCTTTCAATATAATCCAGACATGGTCTTATTCCAACTGTCTCTCTAAAGCTGGTATTCGTAACCCTGTCTGGTATAGTGTTGTAGGTGACCTTGAGGAGACAGCGCATTTCACATGTAGGTATTTTCTGTTCTGGTGCCCTATTCACCTTTAAATTAGTTTAAGTAAAAATCTTGAGATCATGCATTTTTCTTGTGGCAACTTACAATTGTGAGTCCTGGACTCTCAGTCACTGAGGAAAAAGATTTTTGTATTAAAATGTTACAGAAAAATTCTCAGAATACCATGGATCAAAAAGAGGAAAAACATCGACATTCTGCATGAGCTAAACGTCAGGGAGAACTGACTCATAAACAGCGCCATGTCCTAAAAGTTGAAGTATCTCGGCCACATCAAACGTCGTGGTGGCTTGGAAAAGATGGTGATGGAGGGTGCAGTTTGTGGAAAGCGAGGCAGGGGTAGACCTCCGCGAAGATGGATACAGGACATAGAAGGAAAGCACATAGGGCTGGAGAACTGGATAGAGAAAGGGATACTTTCACACGTGTTGTGAAAAGAGCGGCGTTCTGTAAAGGACATGCTGACTGATGATGATGTATGCAATTGAATGTGCTGAGAGTGGAGTCATTGTCAGTTTTTTTCACAAGGGACAGTGATGAGCATTCTTTCTGGTTTTCATTAGCACAGGAATGGATCAACTATGGGGTGACCTGGCACAAGAACGGATCAACTATGGGGTGACCCAGCACAGGAATGGATCAACTATGGGGTGACCCAGCACAAGAACAGATCAACTATGGGGTGACCCAGCACAAGAATGGATCAACTATGGGGTGACCCAGCACAGGAATGGATCAACTATGGGGTGACCCGGCACAGGAATGGATCAACTATGGGGTGACCTGGCACAGGAATGGATCAACTATGGGGTGACCCGGCACAAGAATGGATCAACTATGTGGTGACCCAGCACAAGAATGGATCAACTATGGGGTGACCCAGCACAGGAATGGATCAACTATGGGGTGACCCAGCACAAGAATGGATCAACTATGGGGTGACCCAGCACAGGAACGGATCAACTATGGGGTGACCCAGCACAGGAATGGATCAACTATGGGGTGACCCAGCACAAGAATGGATCAACTATGGGGTGACCCAGCACAAGAATGGATCAACTATGTGGTGACCCAGCACAAGAACGGATCAACTATGGGGTGACCTGGCACAGGAATGGATCAACTATGGGGTGACCCAGCACAAGAATGGATCAACTATGGGGTGACCCAGCACAAGAACGGATCAACTTTGGGGTGACCCAGCACAAGAATGGATCAACCTACTGACCCAGCACAAGAATGGATCAACATGGGGTGACCCAGCACTGTGGATCAACTATGTGGTGACCCAGCACAAGAATGGATCAACTATGGGGTGACCCAGCACAAGAATGGATCAACTATGGGGTGTCCCAGCACAGGAACGGATCAACTATGGGGTGACCCATTTGCTATGAAACTGGAACTACCATTACCTGATCCACCTACTGCCAGTCAGTTTGTGAAGACATGGGATTAGCACCAGTGTTGCCACTTTTCTTTGACAAAAAACATCCAAAATGGAGTAAAAAAAAAATAAAAACATCTACATTTGTGTGGAAAACATCTAGAAAAAAACATCCAAATGGAAAGAGTCACAAATTACATAGCAATTGATATGACTTACCCTATAGAATCATGTCCTCATCTTTACTGAAGTCTCCCTTACAAGATCCACAGGATAAACTTAGCTTGGATGATAAAGTTTAAGCTTCAGATCAAAAATGACTCTGGTACCCTTTAGCAATGTTACAAATTTCTTTAATACGTAGTCAGGGAGCTGATAAGTAGAACAGCCTTTTCCTTCTCTTATCAAAAAAAAAAAATGCTGAAGTTGGTTTTGCAATGTACTGTAAAGGATACACAACTAACTGACTGATGGTAGTTTTATGATAGTTATTCCTAATTATACCTATGTCAGTTTTACCCACTAGTGGTTGCTAATTATGCACAAGTCAGTTTTACCTACAGTTATTGGTAATCATACTTATGTCAGAATTACCCAGTATTTATTGCCTACCATACATCTGTGATAGCAGGATTACAAATAGGTATTGCTAAAGACATTGTTTACGAACAGATTTTGTTGATTATAAATATAAAGTGTTCTACTACAGGTTATTGCTAATGAAATGGTACATACATAACAGCAGTTATGTCCTGACTGACTTTTTCTCTCTCACTCACTCACAGCCCTCCCCCACACCCCCACCCCACACACACACATGCACGCACGCGCACACACACACACAGACAGACAAAGACACTCCATACACAGACAAAAAAGACACTCCATGAATGTCATATTATATGTGTAACAGATCTTGATGTTTGGCTACAGTGTATACAGTCAGAATAATTTGGTTTAGCACTTTCATCAAGTATGAAGAGAAGAGAAAAACATACAAGTCGATAGCTTGTGGCTTTCTGTGCTAAGTTTATGCCATGTATTTTTGTGTGCTTGAATACCTCTACTGTTATTACACAGTTATTTAAAGCCTATGTTTATTCAGTTTTCATGCTTACCCTTCACCTGGGTGTAACCAGAGGGTCTGGCCAGCTCACTACACCCAGAGGAAAGGCAAGACAGACATATAAACAGATTGTGACTGGTATCATAAGTACTGGAACTCTGCCCTGGCTGCTGAAGATGAGGACGGAGCACACATGAGAATACCCCAAATGCTTTCCCTTCTATAAATTTTTCACAGCAGATACTTTTAGGGGAGAATAAGTGACATGTAAAATAAGTCGTGCATTAGTTTCAAAGAAAAAAAATAACTTAATAAAGTGACCATTGAATAAGGAGATTTTTTTGCATGCTTTTAGCCAAATGTAAAATCTGCAAGAACATTTTGTAGGTTAATTGGGTTTAATAGAAACACTACTTCTTCTTCTTCTTCTTCTTTTCTATAACCCCCGAATGCTTCGTGGCATCAGGGCAGGAAGAGATCTCTGGAATAGGCCCTTGTGTTTGCTTCATTTAAAGTACTTTTCAGTGTTTCTGATATTTCTGCAGTCTATATTTTGCATAGTCAACCTCTGGCTCTGTCACTGTTTTAACACTACACTACAAATTGTTGAAACTGAAATTCACATTTGCTTATTATTTAATTGATTGTTACTTTTCCCTTTGACAGGGTGATGTCATAGTGGTCACATTCAATTATCGGCTTTCCTGGCTGGGTTTTCTGAAAGGAAATCTTTCAGAGCTTCCAGGAAACCAGGGTATGTGGGATCAGCTGTTGGCATTACGATGGGTAAAAGAAAATATACTTTTCTTCGGTGGAGATTCTGATGACATTACTGTTGGTGGAAATTCCATGGGAGGTGAAAGTGTTTCTGCATTAAGCATTTCTCCTCAAGGCAAAGGATTATTTACAAAGGTAAGATGCAGAGAGTTAATTTATTGTGTTTGCACTAAAGTGTTATCTTGCACTTTGCGAAGGCCTGGGACTCACAGCCCGTGGCGATGGCAAGTGTGACTAGCAAGACCCGCCTGCATTAACAAAAGTCTTTCACAATTATAGCATAGGATTTTAGGACTGTTGTCAACATTTTTGTTTAGTGTGTTTCTTCTCAGATGCTTATCTCTCATCCTTTCTGCAGTCATTTCTTCCTTCATTTTGTTTCCCCTCCTAATGTGCCTCCTCCACGGTCTATGGCATTTTGTTCCCATGGGTCCAGCTTAATACCTGTATCATTCTTGTCCTATTTGCACAGATCTTTATATTGTTGTAGAGGTCGGTCTGGACATATTTTACCCATCATTAATTTACCATAGAGGATGTCCTTAGGGAAGGCATAGGGTGTCTTTAATGTTGTCAATCCATATTTTTATGGCTGTCCTCTTGTTGTTGTATCTGATCTTCTGAGATGTAGTGCCTGTAATGGTATTTGATCTTGCTGCATTCTAATGAGATGGCCAAACCACTTGATCTGCTGTTTCTCGATGAATCTAGTTCAAGGTGTCGTTCCCACAATTTGTCTGATAGTATCATTATTCACTCAATCTCAGATGGTTAGGTTGGTGGCTTTTCTCAGGCATTTCATCTCACAGGTGGTGATTTTGTGTACATAGGCTTTAGATAGTGCCCTTGTATAGCACTGGTAGCATAATATTGGATCATATTTGATGTTTGTAATCTGTCTCTCTGCACTTATAGTTATGTTTGGATGTCTTAATTATGAGGACAGTTAGTATGTAAGTGCACTTGCTTTCTGACATCTGGTTTCTATTTCTCTTACTCAGTTACGGAAGATACAAATTTTCACTCAATAGACTGCATTCCATGGGTGTACTAGTTGGAACCATTAGACAGGAAAGCCACGCGGGAGCCACCAGTCGTTACATCAGCCAGAACAGAATGGGAGTTGTTAACTTAAAAACACTTGGAGACATAGAAGGAGATCGGAGCATTTAGGGTCATGTGCGTTAAGATGATCTCTAACATGAACTATAAACTATAAAGATACAATTGGTGCGTGTGAGTTGTAATGCTACAGAAAAATTCATAGAATACCATAGATCAGGAAAGACAAAACTGACATGGGACATTATCTGAGCATCCAGAAGAATTAGCTCATAAACAGCATCTTGTCCCAGTGCTGAGGTATTTGGGCCATATTAAATGTGATGGTGGCCTAGAGAGATCAACGCTGTGCAGTTGCCCAGAAAATGAGGCAAAGGCACAGCCCTGTGAAGATGGATACAGCACACTGAAGATGCTTTGGCTATGAAAGTACATATAGCTAGAGAATTAGCTAGAGACTTTCTGGCATGCCAAGATGAAACTAACGTTATGTGAAGAACCTGCTGGTTGAAAATGATGTTTTATTCGCATGAGATTCAATCATATTTTCGGGGTTTTCATTTCTATTTATTCACATAGGTTTCACTCATATTTTCAGGGTTTTCATTTCTATTTATTCACATAAGTTTCACACATATTTTCAGGGTTTTTATTTCTATTTATTCACATAGGTTTCACTCATATTTTCAAGGTTTTCATTTCTATTTTTTCACATAGGTTTCACTCATATTTTCAGGGTTTTCATTTCTATTTATTCACATGTTTCACTCATATTTTCATGGTTTTTATTTCTATTTATTCACATAGGTTTTACTCATATTTTCAGGGTTTACATTTCTATTTATTCACATGTTTCACTCATATTTTCAGGGTTTACATTGCTGTTTATTCACATAGGTTTCACTCATATTTTCAGGGTTTACATTTCTATTTATTCACATAGGTTTCACTCATATTTTCAGGGTTTACTTTTCTATTTATTCACATGTTTCACTCATATTTTCAGGGTTTACATTGCTGTTTATTCACATAGGTCTCACTCATATTTTCAGGGTTTACATTGCTGTTTATTCACATAAGTTTAACTCATATTTTCAGGGTTTACATTGCTATTTATTCACATAGGTTTCACTCATATTTTCAGGGTTGAAACTGCTATTTATTCACATAGGTTTCACTCATATTTTCAGGGTTGACATTGCTATTTATTCACATAGGTTTCACTCATATTTTCAGGGTTTCATCATGAGTGGAACAATGTTTACCACTCCATCAACTCCAGGCTCCTCTGATGTTCTATTGGACCTGCTCACCGACCGAGTTGGATGTAAATATGAGAACACTGATGACACAGTTAGCTGCCTCAGAACGTTACCTGCTGAGAAATTTGTACTTCCACTTGAAAACCGGTTCACAAACAAATTTACTACGATCGATGGAGAATTGTTTCCGGCACCAATTAAGGACCTCATCAAGGACACAGATTATTTAAAAACATCAGGTTTCTTCTCCAGGGATTATCTTGTGACACTTACAAACAATGAAGGTGCTGTTGAGTTCTTTGGACCCTTCAACGTGGGAGTAGGTATAGTATACAAAATACCTCTGCTTCAAATAGTTAAAAGAAAGTAACAGAAAATGATATCCACATATTTTAAACACAAAACAGATATAACACTTGTATCTTCTTTTTATTGGCATTCACCGGCTGTAAGCTCTGGCATAAAATGATGGTTGTTCATCTTTGGACTTTGCTATTGCTTCAAAACTTAAGTTATGTGTGCTTATCCGTTTTACAGATCTGGCTCATCTGTATGCAAACAGTTGGTTCATTACCTCTCAGGATGATGCACTCTGATTTGGAAAGAAATACCCCTAATTAGTGGACTTTTAGGACATACTTGTTAGGGCACTTTGCGTCTATTCTTTTTTTGCCCCCTACAATTGGACCCCAGAATCAACATGGGGGTACACTTTTATAATACAAATAATCATTCTGCAAAGAAAAGTTGAAAGCAAGGCAGCTAAAAGCAAAAATCGATTCAAATGCAAAAATAACGTCAAGAGATGGATATACAGCAGTTTGAACTGTGTATCCAGGGTGAAAGACAGAGCATAAAAGAGATCCATTACTAGCTATCATGTGGAAACAGTATCTAATGAAGTGATTGTAAAAATAACAACAAATAATGACAATTTCTTCTTCACTTTACTGGCTGTAAACTGCGATAGCAAGTTCTCATTGTTCCTCCACTTCTGGACTCTAGTCCTGATCTAGAACCTGAGTGTTGCATGCACTTCTATTTCACAGATCTGACTCATTTGTATACAGGCTGTAGGTTCCTTGCCTCTCAGGCAGATGCCCTCTGACTGCGAAGGAAGCTCCCACTTAGTCGACGCCTACAACATGATTGTTGGGTAGGCAGTGTGTCTATTCTTGTTTTCACCCATAGTAGGGCCCCAACACCCAGACAGGGAGAATAGTGAAAACAGTTACCTAATAAATGACAACATTAGTAACCAGTAGTCTTATAGGTCGGCGATCTGTGGCTTAGGCATGGCAAACACGCTTCGTAATGCCGGGGTTGATCCCAGATGCGGATGGTTTTTCTTTCGTTGGTTTTGACAATGGTACCGAGAGCTGACCGTTCGGTAAGCAATGGCAAACTAGTGGACTTAAAAACCACAACAGCCAAAATAAATGCTGGGGTTGGTTCTGTAACATCCTATATAGGATAAACAACTAACTTAACCCTTTTAGAGTAGAAGACTAAACAGGAAAAAGGAGGTGAGGGATTACATGGAATATAGACTTTATTGATTCCTGAAAAAAAAAAAAAAAACCACTACATAAGATCTTGTCACTCAGTATTATTGTTAGAGATGAGTTAAGAACTGATATCATAACCCTTGGGACATTTTCATCACTGCTCATTTCCCTTTTGATCAGCCAGCACAGAGTTCCAATTCCAGTGGTAGCAGTAACAGTCTGATTGTTGGCTCATCTTGCCTTTCCTCTGAGTGTTGTGTGTTGTTGAATTAAGAATTGACATCATAGCACTCGGGACACTCCCATAAGCGCTCCATCCCCATCTCCGCAGCAGGTGAAGAGTTCCAAATCTGATGGCACCAGTAACTCTCTGATTGTACATCATTATCGCCTTTCCCCTAAGCGTTGAGCGTCGGCCAGATCCCCTGGTAACTCCTCGCAGCGCCATTCTGCTCAGACCCTAATGATCTATTGTGCCTCTGCACTGTTCACTCGCTCTCAATAATACAACTCTCTCGCTCGCAACCTCGAGCTTGTTATACATCAGTTCACCACTAAGTGGTGCAGAACTATCTGCCTGCTCATTTTCTAACACACCAGCATGACGTGGAGAGAATATCCATAGAAGGCTAAGTATCCGGGACCTCTGAAGCGATGCTTGTCACTCTGCGTGGAACATAGCATGCCTGTTCTGAGTGTTGGTTTGACCCCACTGCTGATATATTTGTGCCTCCTCATTCTTCCTCCCTTAAAAGAGCATTGACAGTATATCATTAACTGGTGCAGAACCAGCCAGGCTGTCCGACTGTTCTTTTTCCATCCCACCTGCCTATTTTGGCAATAATATCCAAAAGACACTAACTATCCAAGACCTCTGAAGCAGTGCTTGCCACTGCACAAAACATACATGTCTCCACCTTTCTCAGCATGCTTTTTTACAGTCTATATATCCATGATATATTTGTGCAACTGGTTGTCAAACCAGCGGAAAACTGCAGTGACTGCCTGTACCTCTATTCTCAAACTAGATATTGTGATATTGTAAATAGGCTTTGTTGCACTAAGGGTTGCCCATTTGCTTTTGACATGAAATCTCATGCAGTCATCCTGTCTTTTCCTACAAAGCCATCTGTATAGAAATCACACAACCTGCTTGGGAATGGCCACGAATCACTTGTTAAACTTCTTATTCTACAGCACCTTATATTAATAGGTTAAGGAGACAGTTATAAAAACGTAGAATTTGACATAATGTTTTAAATTGTTATAATAGTTATCCTTGATTTGTACCAGGGTCGATTCTGTTAGTAAACTGTTCAAGAAGAAGACCACTCTCATAGCCTACATACACTGGTATGAGAGTCTCACCATGGAAGAGATTAGGGCGTCAGCACGTAATTTTCAATAGTAGCAGTGGATCACATGGTTGGCCACGTAACAAGACTTGCAACAGACATGGCACCACAGAAAGCAGTGTTATACAGACACAGTCGTAATAGAGCCAGAAGCCGACCTTGCGGAAGATGTACCACAGAAATACAGATGACACTGAAGCAAACAAAATGGACTGTTCTAGAGATCTCTTCCTGCTATGATGCTGCAAGGCATTGCAAGAGTAGGGAAAAGAAGAAGAAGCAGAGGATAAATTGCTGCCTACCTCCATTGTGGAGACTGCACAATTATTTAAACAAACAAATTATTGCCATTACTCTTTCCCCTTAGCTTCTATAACTTTTGATTTGATTTCTTTTGCAGATCCAGAATCTATGTCAGCCGGTTTCTTAAATGAGCTTTTCCAAATCCCAGTACCCGTGTGTGAGAAAATCTTGGCCTGGTATAAGATGCCTGGCCATTTTGCATTCAAACCCTCCCATGATATTCTCTGTGACTACAGTATGGTAGTACCAACATACAAATTTCTGGAGGCTGCTGTCTCGTTCAACAATGGTGAGAGTCATTAAATTATTGGATGTACTTATTAATTGAATTCTGCCATCTCCTCCCCGTGTGGGTTCCGGGCCCCATTGTAGGAAATACAAGTATAGACCCACTGCCTGTCCAAAAGCATGTCGTAAAAGCCGACTGAATGGGAGCTTCCTTCAGAGTCGGAGTACATCTCCCTGAGAGGCAAGGTACCAAAAGTCTGCATGTAAATGAATCAGATCTGTGAAACAGATGTACACGCAACACTGAGTTTCTGGAACAGGACTAGAGAACAGAAGCGGATGAACAAACTTTCCGCCGGAGTTTATAGCTGGTGAAAGCGAAGAAGAAGTGCCATCTCCAAAACTGAGGTGTACTGCAAGGTTGATTTCCTGTGACAGGTCAAAAGTTCACTATGACTTTACTGACACAGTGTATTTCTCAGCTCTTTGTATTTTTTCATTTGTAGAGAGGTTTGTCACATCATTGTATGTTTTCATTTACAAAATCTTCTCACCAATCTTTATGGTTTTTTGGATAGATAAATATTTATCAAACCTTTGTATTTTTCACACATGTATGTGTGTGTGTGTGTATGTATATATATATATATATATATATATATATATATATATATATATATATATATATATATATAATCTTGGTATTTTTTCTTCACAAGAAGAATGTGGGAAAACTGCTAATGATTAAAACAAAAGCTCTTGTCTACCTGGTCAACCTATTCGCACCAGGAGAAACGGCTAAATAGCTTTCACATATGATGCCTAAGAAGAATACTTGGCTTTAAGTGGCAGGGCAAAATCACAGACACTGAGGTATTAGAAAGAACAGGCATTTTCTCAATGCTCCTTCTATGAAGGCTCAGGTGGCTAGGTCACAACTGGAGAATGATTGCAGAGTCCCTAAGGCTGGAGAATGGAGGATGGCAGAGTCCCTAAGGACATCCTCAATGGTGAATTAAAGACAGTTAGAAGATGCCGAGGCTGACCTCTACTATGATTTAAAGATGTGTGCAAATGAGTAATGAATGATACAGGTATTGAGGTGGACAGGTGGGAACAAAACACCATGGACCGTGTTGATTGGAGGGAGCACATCAGAAAGAGAATGAGAATAAAGGAAGAAATGTTTCCAGAAATGATGAGAGGTGAGCGTCTGAGAAGAAAGACTAAACACAAATGTGGACAACAACGGTACAGTCCTGAAAACCCATGCTGTAAATGTGGAAGACTTCTTAACACTGGCTAGTCACACTGGCCATCGCCATGGGCTGTGACTCCCATGCTTCCTCATAGCACAATATAACATTTTTGTCTGAAAAGACAGAAAGGGGCCAATAATTTTTTTTTAATGGAGATAAGTATTTCTCACATCTGTGTATTTTCTCATGGAAAAGAGAGAAAGTTGGAATAAGACCATGTCTGCATTATATTGACAAAGAATGAAATAGTTTAGCCATCTAATGAGAATTCAGCCAGACCAGACCACATATGAGACTTTTTACAGTAGAACATCTGGGAGGAAGGCGAGAGGAAGACCAAGAAAGATATGGATAAATAGTGTAGATGAAACCTGCAAAAAGTTGAACACATCCATCACTCAAGCCACCCCAGAAATGCAAGACAAATATAGAAAACCATGACACAACCTGGTAACAGTGAGATGACAAAAGAAAAGAAGAAGAAGAAGAAATATTTCTAATATCTTTGTAATGTTTCAGAGACCACTGATAAGAGACTGGGTAGACCCTATTTTTTGTACTTTGACTATCAGCCGTCCTATCTCCCACCTGGACTTCAGGGCATGGGACACGGATTTGACCTCATGTACCTGTTTGACATACTGCCTGATCAGATGCTGCAGTACTACTATGACCAGAACACAAGCCAGGCTTTCACAGAAGCTGACTTCCAGATGAAGAATATGTATATCCACATGCTGACAGATTTTATGAGATCAGGGTATGTAGTGTGTAAGATTGCATGAAATCAGGTATGTGGTGTGTAAGATTGCATGAAATCAGGGTATGTGGTTTGCAGGATTTTGAGAAATAAGAGTAAGTGGGGTGTAAGATTGCATGAAAGCAGGGTGTCTAGTATACAAGATTTCATTAAACCTGATGTGTAAAATAAAGGGTTTAATTAAATCAGAGTATAGAGAGATTAAAGGATTTAATAAAGTCAGAGTTTTAAGGTAAAGAATTTCATGAAATTAGGGTGTGTAGGCTGCAGAATGTTGTGAAATTAGGGTATTAACAGCATTTAATGAAATCGTGTGTAAGAATTACGAAGAATCTTTGGACCCATCAAAGATGCAAACAGTGGTGAATGGAGAGTGAGATGACAAAGAAGTAAAAACTGTATACAACAGGAAGATGACTGGTTGTAGACAATGAGGCAGACCAAGAAGATGATGGAGAGATAATATCCAGACAGACCTGCAAATACTTGGTGACACCAACTGGAAAGAGAGGGCCAACCAGAGAGATGAATGGAGGCGAATGATATCTGCAGCAATGAACCTCAGGGCCCGAAATGCTGAAGAAGAAGATAGTATGTAGGATACTTCTTCTTCTTTCATCCAAAGATATAAATTCATTAGTGGCCATTTACAGTATAGTTGCAATATGCGCATCTTTTGACCGACACATCTGACTTCTGCAGACAATTGTTGCCCGGGCCTACGATACAAGATTTTGTGAACTAAGGGTGTGTAGGATTTAGGTTTTCATGAAATCATTGTATGTAGGATTTGAGATTTCATAAAATCGTGGTTTATAGGATTCAGGATTTCATGAAATAAGGGTATCCAGGTTACACACTTTTTTATATTTATTTACATGTATTTCCAACTTGTTTTTATCATCGTCTTATAACACTGCTTGCGATGATTCACCAGTTTCTGTTGACTGTCTGATCAGCTCCCTCCACCTTTGAAAGTCAGATGCAATGGACTTCATGGTTGTATGCCTAAAACCTGTCCGGTCAATTGAATTCTGTATCAAGGTCTTTCTTGGTCTTCCTCTTCCCCTCTACGGAGCCCTGTAGTACTGTTTTTGAGAGGCCATTAGATCTTAAGTCATGTCATTGCATTTTCGGTCCTTTTCACCGTAGTTAAAAGACGTTCACAGTTGACGGGGTACTGGTTAATTATACGGCTAACCCTGTCATTTGTCATGTGGTTTCTGTATGAAATGCCAAGAACTATTCAGAAAGATTTATTTCCAATGCTTGTAGCTTCTTTTCGAGTTCAGCTGTTAAGGTACACATTTTCACTGCGATATACATATAATACTAGTGCTGTGAGCAGTTTATATATATTTGTGTACATATTTTCACATCTAGTTTATATGGCACAGTGCGGCACAGCAAACACCTGCAAGCAGGTTAAAGTAAAAACTCTGAGATCATGCATTTTTCCTGTGGCTGCTTTTACTCAGTCTGTGAAGTAAAATATTATGTATTCTAGACAAAGCAATAAGGTCTTACTGTGTTCGTAAATTGTTGCTGTGATTGTTATTCGACATTTGCTTCGTTAATATAAATTTCTGTAACCTATGGTGCCATTTCAATGGGTTGAAATTAATTCTGTCCGTATTCCATAGTCGTGGATTTCAAGCTGTACGATAGACATGGCCAATGAGACACCTTTTTTTTGGGGGGTGCCTAGTTGACTATGTATCTTAGTGCACTTGTATTCATGGCGAGGCGCAGACGCCGTCTGGAGGTGACAGGTTCAATTCCCGGCACGGTAACTATAGCTTTCGATTTTTATGTTGTCTAGTGTGTTCTTCTATCTTTCTACTTCTTTCTATGAGTGCCGTTCACAATACTTTCTGTTACTTGATTAATTCAAAGTAAAATATTAGAACTTTTGAAATGAAATGCTACAGAAAAATTATTTTTATTCCAGGGCCAGGTTGTAGAAAAACATCAACATTCTGTGTGATCTGAATATGGGGGAAAAAGAGAGGGGGGGGGGGGGATGCTCAAAAAGAGCATCCTCTTCCAAAAGCGGCAGTATTTTGGACATGTTAAACATGGTGGCCTAGAGAGAATGGTAATGAAGAGAGCAGTTTCCAAACATGAGGCAGAGGTCAACCTCCCTGAAGGTACATACAAGACACTGAAGATGCATTGGCTGTGAAAGCACATAGGGCTGGAGAATCAGCTGGAGGAAAAGAAACTTTCAGGCAGAACCTAAAAGAGAGCCAAGCTTTGTAAAGGATCTACTGATTGATGATGATTTTATGTGTATGTGCATATTTTTATACCATGTTTATGTCTATATATATGTATTCACATATTGTTTATATCTGTTCACACCTCTAAAGTTATGTTGACATTCTTCACTTACATATTGATTAATTAATTATTGCAGTGATCCAAGTGTGACCTTAAGAGAGAAATTCAAAGTTCATTGGCCACCCTTTGACCCCAAAACAGAAGACAGCCTAATTTTCAGTTCCTCGCCTTCTGTTAGGACATCACCTTTGAAAGACCGCAATCATTTCTGGAATAAAGTGTTCCCTCAGTATCTGGAGGAGTACTTGCAGTCCAGTCACAAACAGGAGCTATGAGGTTTTGTGAAAGTTTGAAAAACTTGAACTGAAAGATATTTACTTTCTTGTATTGGATGTTATGTGGTAACTGCCATTTTATTGGCGGAATGTTGTTGTAATTTTGTTTTAAAATTTTTATTTTATATATAAACATGGGTATATTCAGAATTCCTAACCAGAATCGTTCAAAATGTAACATTCCACATTATTTGACTCTGAAGCTTTAAAAAGTGTTAAAAACAATGATTTTCCAGTTTTGAATTAAAATAATGCAGAGGTAATAGATTGCACAGTTTTTTGTTTGCAGCATGTTTTGCCATATTATGTCAGGTGCATTACTACAGATCTTCTTCTTTCTTCTGCCCTTCTATCCCCCAATGGAGCATAGGCCCTCAACCAACTCACGCCAAGTGGTTCTATCCTTTGCCATTGCATGGAGCTCTCCACATGTCCTTCCCTTCTTTCTAACTTCATTCTCCAGTTCTCTTCTCCATGTGTTTTTTGGCCTTCCTTTATTCCTATGCCCCTGTGGGTTCCAATGCAAAGACATTCTGGTTATGCTGTTCTCCTGTTTTCTCAGTGTGTGTCCAATCCAGCATCTTTTCCTCACCTCTTGTTCCACTGGAGCCTGTTTAGTTCTCTCCCAAAAGCTCTACATTAGTTATTCTATCATACCATTTAACTCCCACTATTCTCAGGCACCAGTTAATGGATGTCTGTAATTTATTAGTAATTGCCTTAGTTGTTCTCCAACTACAGTTGCATCAAGTGTAATGAAGCTCAAGAACAGATTTCTCTTCACTGAAATACGCAAATCACATTGCCTCTCTCTTGATATATTTTTATCTTATTGCTGAAGGATCAAGATGGTCACAGGGTTGACCGTGCCATATTTGAATTTATTACCACTTCTCTTTGTTTGCACAAAGCAGGATTAGTATTGAAAATGTATCATATTTATATGTGGAATGTCAGTGTTTACAGCGGGGACTTTTCCCTCTTTTCAGAAGATAGTGTTTATACTGTGCTGTAGGAAGGCATGGGAATCAAAACCCACAGCGACGCACAATAAATGCCAACAATGAAGTTCCTCTTATCTGTAACACACAACCTGGGCAGTATTTCAGAGCTTTTGTGTTGACCATGCAGCATGATCCCTGCCTGCATTGTTTACTCTAAAGGAAAGGTAACATGTATACGTTTGAAACGGTGCATTCTACAGAAGCTGCTAGATCAAACAGCAATGGTGTGTTAGTCCACCAAATTACACTTACTAATTTTCCACTTAACCTTTGTTCACATTTTGCTTTGTTTCCAAAAACCTTTGTTAACACTATTTTTTTTCCACATAACCTTTGTCTTAAAAAAAAAATATAACTTGTTCACACTATATTTCCACATAACTTTTTTTCACATTTTTTTCCACATAACCTTTTTTCACACTATATTTTCATATAATCTATGGTTACACTTTGCTTTGTTTCCCAATAACCTTTGTTAACACTATTTTTTTCCACATAACTTTTGTCATCTTTTTTTTCCTTATAACTTTTGTTCACACTGTATTTCCACATAACTTTTTTCCACATTATTTTTCCACATAACCTTTGTTCACACTATATTTTTACTTTTTACATAATCTATGGTCACATTATTTTTTCCACATACCTTTGTCCACACTGTATTCTTATATAAATTTTGTTCACACTGTATTCCCCCCCCCCCCCACCCCCCCCCCCCCTCCCCCAATAATCTTTATTCGTTTTTTAAAACCCTTATTTCCCACCTTTGGCTTTCATCTCCAGATGAGACACAGGCAATCAGCCAACTCATGCCAGTCCCTCTATAGACTTATTCTTGAGTGGTTGGATTTTACAGCTAAAGTTTCCTGCCGGCTGGGATAGCCAGTCTCACATCAACCTGAAAAGATGAAAAGATATCAAACCATATGAAAAGTTGAACTGGTCAGCTTCACATTATCACAGTCCAAATGACAAGTGAACGCTGCAGCTAGAAAACCTTCATCAGCACATTAGATGAAAAGACAGTGTTACAATTACAAAACAGTAACAGAAACCACTTAACTGTGGTATCTGCCTTTGAAAACAGAGTGTATTTGCCTCAGAGGCAAGGAACCAACAGTCTGCATACAAATAAGCCAGATCTGTAAATCGGGATGTGCAAGTAAAACTCAAGTTCTAAATACATTTGAGGTCCAGCTGGATAAACATCGATAAATTTCTGCCGGAAAAAGAAGGTATCTCTGACAGACATATCTATCTGGCCATAAAATAAGATATTTCAGGTAAAATTCCACATCTGTCTGGCTATAAACTGAGGTATCTCTGGGAGAAATCCACATCTGTCTGGCCATAAACTGAGGTATTTTCAGGAGAAATCCACACCTGGCCATAAACTGAGGTATCTTCAAGAGAAATCTACATCTGCCTGGCTATAAACTGAGGTATCTTCAGGAGAAATCTATATCTGTCTGGCTATAAACTGAGGTATCTTCAGGAGAAATCTATATCTGTCTGGCCATAAACTGAGGTATCTTCAGGAGAAATCCACACCTGTCTGGCCATAAACTGAGGTATCTTCAGGAGAAATCTATATCTGTCTGGCCATAAACTGAGGTATCTTCAGGAGAAATCCACACCTGTCTGGCCATAAACTGAGGTATCTTCAGGAGAAATCTACATCTGTCTGGCTTTTAACTGAGGTATCTCTGGGAGAAATCTACATTTGTCTGGCCATAAACTGAGGTTTTTTCAGGAAAAATCCACACCTGGCTATAAACTGAGGTATCTTCAGGAGAAATCCACATCTGTCTGGCTTTTAACTGAGGTATCTCTAGGAGAAATCTACATCTGTCTGGCCATAAACTGAGGTATCTTCAGGAGAAATCCACATCTGTGTGGCTATAAACTGAGGTATCTTCAGGAGAAATCTACATCTGTCTGGCCATAAACTGAGGTATCTTCAGGAGAAATCCACACCTGTCTGGCCATAAACTGGGGTATTTCCAGGAGAAATCTACATCTGTCTGGCCATAAACTGAGGTTTCTTCAGGAGAAATCTACATCTGTGTGGCCATAAACTGAGGTATCTTCAGGAGAAATCTACATCTCTGGCCATAAACTGAGGTATCTTCAGAAGAAATCTACATCTGTGTGGCTATAAACTGAGGTATCTCTAGGAGAAATCTACATCTGTCTGGCCATAAACTGAGGTATCTTCAGGAGAAATCTACATCTGTGTGGCCATAAACTGAGGTATCTTCAGGAGAAATCTACATCTGTCTGGCCATAAACTGGGGTATTTCCAGGAGAAATCTACATCTGTCTGGCCATAAACTGGGGTATTTCCAGGAGAAATCTACATCTGTCTGGCCATAAACTTAGGTTTCTTCAGGAGAAATCCACATCTGTGTGGCTATAAACTGAGGTATCTTCAGGAGAAATCCACATCTCTGGCCATAAACTGAAATGTCTCTGAGAACATATATGTATTAAATGAAGGGTGGGCCACATTTTATGATTTCCTTCCCTCTAAACCCTGGTTAAACACAGTTTCTCAGCCTCAAAATATAATGGCTAAAATGGCAGATAGCCAGTTGACCACTGAAAATCTGAAAAGTTATTAGTGGGGCTATAAGCTGAGTTATTTCTGAGAGAAATCCACTTTTATGTCTCTCCATAATCTATTTTTCACCAACCTGAAATTATACATTATTTTGTTTCGTGAGATTTGTGTATTCAAACATTTTTCTTCTTAAGTTTCAGTGACTGTAAACACCAGCAGAAAGTTCTGGTTATTTATCCACTTCTAGACTTTGGTCTAGTTCCAGAACTTCAGTTTTGAATTCATGTCCATTATACAGATCTGAATTAATTGTGTGCAGACTGTTACTTCCTCTCTTTTCAGGCAGATGCACTATGATTTGAAAAAGAAACACCACCTAGTGTTTCCCCAGTTACCTTCTGTGACTTGCATGCTAGGGGGTAGTAGCGGGTCTTTCCCCCCCCCCCCCCTTCCCTCCATACATAAGGCCCCTAAACCCACACGGCGAATATATAAGATATAAGCAGACACCTCTCCTGCCCTCAGACATAACTCCAGACCAACTAACACAGCCACTCACTTTCAAAACGTTTGTATTGCTGTCTTTTAGAGCTAGTAACTGTAAACTAAGTTGACGTCCAACCCCCACCAGGACATCACAGCGAGTGGTAAACATCCGGTGACACAAAGTGCCACCATTCGGATGAGGATCGCCTAGAGACAGTTCCCAGAATCCCTGTTCAACCTGGGATATAATTAGGGCCCCTGACCACATCCGGGGTGGACCATATTGGGATCTAAAACTAGCAAATGTAAATAAAGGGCCTTTTCTACACCAGAGACAAGATTGTGTTGGCTATATAATGCTAGACTCATATTTATATAGACCATTTGGTGCTGGGTGGATGGTGTAGTCTACTGAGCACTGGCTGCTTTTACATCCTAGGAGATAGATTTGTGTGCAGGACTTTGTTTTCTAGCTGTACACGGTACCAGCACCTTTCCCTTTTTTTTAGGCATCACTTTTTCAGCACCACTGTAATAGACACTTTGAGGTGAATACTTTAAAAAAAAAAAAAAAACATTTCTACTTGGATCCATATTTAGGCGGTCTTTTTGAACTAACCACCAATAAGTGACATCATGAAAACTACAGTGTCATTTTGTCTGCTATTACTGTTAGCTGAAGACAGCCAAATTGCACAGCAACACATTTCATAGTAATTTTTGTTAGTACAGATTGTATATTTCAGCAAATTTGTTCTGTGGAAAGATGTCTCAGTTAAGGAATCAAAATCATGATGAGTATTGATATTATTATTATTTTTGTATGCATTTATTTACAAGTATTAACATGAAGCAGTAAACAGATGTTCACAGAAATGAAATTATTTGATAACTAATTTGTATTTTCTGTCAGAGAAAGACAAACTACGACTAAACTTTGACTCATT